ATATATATATATATATATATATATATATATATATATATATATATATAAAGTTTAGATGGAGCCACAGCATTTGCTAATGGTTTAAATGAATTTTCAGCTAATAGGGAGAAAGAAGAAATAAATAACTGCTAAAGGAGAAATGTTGCTGAAGCAGCTCTCCTGTTGGTGTTTCTGAGGCCGTGCCCTCGCTGCTCACTGAGCCATTTCCTGTTTTTGACCTGAAATCTTTATTTAGAGACATCCCTACTTGTTGCATTCACAAATCAACTTAGTCAGGAAAAAACAAACAAACAAACAGAGGGTTAGGTGTAAAGTGCCCTGACTAAGATGGCCGTTAGCTTCAGCGAGACTGAACTGTTTATGAAAGAGTTAGTTCTGTTGTTGGTTCCTCTGATTGCTTCATGAACTCTGCAGTCTGAGTAGCAAGTCCAGTTTATGTCCAGGTCATGAAAACAGAATTAATGACAGAGATCAAACACTGAATTTATATCACCACACGTGTAGAACATGCCACTAATTAGCTGTTATAAAATCAGTTTTACTACTTTAACAAAATTACCTTTTCATTTATTATAACTATACTTGCTCTGAAATGCAATACACTCCATTCAGCTACATAGAACGTACAGACAATGAATGAATGCCTGTTTTCTCCTCCAATCAGTGTCTGTAAATAAACCAGACCATCAGTGAATGCATCACAGCCTGTATTCTCCTCCGATCAGCATCTTTAAATAAATCCCATGGCCAGTGAATGCATCACAGCCTGTTTTCTCTTCCGATCAGCTTCTGTAAATAAATCAGACGGTCAGTGAACGCATCACAGCCTGTTTTCTCCTCCGATCCAGGGCCAGATTAACACTTCGCTGTACCCTGGGCAACAATCTTCAAGGGCCCCATCATCACGACCCCAGAATCACCATAATCTGGCAAAATACAGAATAAATTACCATAATATACAGTAAATATACTTAAAATTCTAACTATCAAGTGTGTTTTTATGTATAAAACTCCAAATGCTCATTGACACAAATCATCAAGACTGAATTAAGTTGAACACACTTTAAGGTGAATACTACATGACACCATATGTGTACTTGTTTAGTAACGTGTTGGCCACTGGTGTCAGAAGCATTTATAATGTGTGGGTGGGTGGGGGGGGGGGGGGGGGGGGGGCACACATGCAGCGCAGCGCTCCAAGTAAAGCAGGAGATAACCAGATATTCTACTTGTGCCCTCACTGCCCTGGGCCCCTTAGAGATCATGGGCCCCTTAGAGATCATGGGCCCCTTAGAGATCATGGGCCCCTGGGCAGTTGCCCATATGGTTAATCCGGCCTTGCTCCGATCAGCGCCTGTAAATAAATCCCACGGTCAGTGAACGCACCGCAGCCTGTTTTCTCCTCCGATCAGCGCCTGTAAATAAATCCCACGGTCATTGAACGCACCGCAGCCTGTTTTCTCCTCCGATCAGCGCCTGTTAATAAATCCCACGGTCAGTGAACGCACCGCAGCCTGTTTTCTCCTGCGATCAGCGCCTGTTAATAAATCCCACAGTCAGTGAACGCACCACAGCCTGTTTTCTCCTGCAATCAGCGCCTGTAAATAAATCCCACGGTCAGTGAACGCACCACAGCCTGTTTTCTCC